ATGAAAATTAGTGAATGTTCTTTTAACCTGTTCAACTTAATTACTGCTACAAATTACCAACTTACGTACTTTAACTAACGTTAAATTCAAAAGAGGAACCAATACTATTTGAAACCAAGCACAGAAATATTAAATAGATTAATATAATTTTGTTCACATTAAAAATTAATTCTAGTATAATGGGTTCACTAGCTGTTAGCTAAAATCGCCGGTAAGAATAACAGCAATCTTATACTTCTTTTTTGAATATACAAAGCGTCGTAGCATCATTCTGTTGCTTCTGGAAGCCCAGGCGACCGTCTAAGTAGCCATGGATCCATATAACGATAGTGTCTGCAGTACATAAGCACTTTGCTAGGCCGAACACCAACGAGGTAAAAATTAACCAAAACACTTAAATCAAACAAGGAATTATTTTATAACATATGTATAATTATTATGTGGTAATTTTACTATAGTCACTGACTATAATTGAGCGGGCTCGAAAATACTTTAACACTGCACCACGGGCTTCACGTTTATTACAGTAACATAGATTTTCAGGTATTTAAATTCTTTAGCAATTCAAATTCTGATTCGTATAATGTAATAACGGAATTATACAACTATTTGTATCACTTATTCCAAATTGCTCTCAGTTATGGACCGCGAATTGATCGAATTTTAGACTTCTTGATTCATGGCCTAAATTCAATTACAATAAACACCGATATTGCGATAAAATTATCTTTCATTTTTCATGACAAATTTACTTAGGAAAGCCAGTTACAACTAGCGTGCTGTTACTAGCATTTCAAATAACCCAGAGAATGTCACTGGTTGTCTGTAACTAAATTTATCGATTAACAACAACACATGAATTTTTTGTAAATGTTTTTTTGGTAATCCACTCACTCACAATAAAACTCCAGGCTTTCTTCAAATCCACCTCTATGTTTGAGAGCACTTTCGAATATTAAGCACTATGAGGCTATTACTGTCACTATATATAATCCTGAATATCTTAGTTTTCAGTAATGAAAAGTATGCAAAAGACAGGTATGATCATTGTTCTTCGATATTCATGGCAAATTCAACTTTCTCAGCAACTGCGCTCACTCCATACATCATATCTTATCAACAGTTCAGTACGCGTAAGAAATCCAGGAAACCGAAGGACCGGACCAGAATCCAGAACCGAAAATCTAGTATCACAGCCTGGGCAGATATTCTTCGCTGTGTGACCGAAAGAAGGCAGCCCAGCACTACTATTTCTTTTCATGTGTTGATATACATATTTCTAAACACTGATACTCATACAGACCTTTTTGATTTTTTAAGAGATTAATTTTGGATTCTATTACAGCCGTTCTACTTTTATTACTTTTATGCATGCGCCGAAAAATCGAGTTTCGCTGCGACTTTCAAACAGTTCGAAGCCTAATTCCCACAAATCATGTCAACTTTCACGTAACAAAATGAAACGTCTGCGCATTTTTGATCACTTCAAGAAGTCAAAATTAAAAATCAACTTCAAGTGGCATTCATCAATCTCCGTCAAGTCGCAAGATAAACGAACGGCATTAGTCACAATTAGCACATGACGAGAAAGACAAAACACAAAGGACAAGCTAGGCTACATCATTGTTAATTTTTGACTACATAAAATAATGCTCTGAAACAAAACCACCGCAACAGCCAAAGTATAATCCTCTATCTTTAAGACGCATAAACGCTTGAGTCTATTTAAAAATCCGCGCAAAAGCGTTTAGCCGAACGGCTAGGCGACGGGTCAACGGGATCTTCGAATGAGCGTTTACTTTCGCTGTCGGCAGTGTTCACGAATCCTAAACCACTACTTACTAAAAAATATACAAGAACAGGTCTGAAATGTACCTAAATTGTTCCATTCGACTTCTGCCTCTAAGAGCGGAACCGGAAGCTCTACCGCGGGAATAAATCGACGGAACAACTCGGGACAAAGTGAAGCATAGGCTAAAATATTTTTTGCATTAAAAGCAGAGCAGACTAAAAAACTTCGCAAATACCTGTATCTAACTTGTAAAGTAAGGTGACTATACGTTCCATCTGCGAGGGCGGTACAGACAAGAAATCATCCTTTGCTCTGCGCAAGCAACCTAAATTAACCGGCGTAGAAGTCTACGGCAATAAATATTGGACAGAAAATTACATATATTCATAATAGCATGCATTTACGACGGATCTAATATTATCATGGATATAATTATCATTAACAAAAAAATAAAGAATGCGCCATGGATAAGTTACTGAAAGTCCAAACTAAACTCCATTTAATGTGGTACTAAAAATAGCGATACCTTACTGAAACAGCGATAATAAAATGTAAAGACTGTAAAAAAAAGATATAAAATGTATTTTTCACTTTACACCAATTGCACCATTGCATCGCCCTGTGCAACTATTCGCCTAGGATACCAATTAAGCAGGCCACGCCTCCATGACCTTTAAGCTCCGCAGTGCATAGTACGCAAGGTAGCATCCGTTACTTGGATGGAACAAGGGCATGTTCAACCCAAAACGCATTTCCCATGATCCGCCGGCAATTGAAACCAAGACAAAATAATCCCAAAGTCCTAGGGTAACTTCTAATACAGCCGTTAAATATAAGACATTAAAAATAATAATACCAGACTGAAAGGACCAAAATGCACCATGTAAAGAAGGAAAAAAATTATGTCACTTTATACTAATTGCATTATTGCACCCCTTTGCTTGTAATCATCAGGGGCCATTTAATAGGTGACTGAACTCCGTTTAACTGCAAGATTACACAGGTCTTCTACACAGTCGTGCTCTCAGGTACGAGGTCTGCCTATGGGCACTATTTCCTGTGCCTTCACCAATAAAGTGGGTTTTGTGAATCTCTTGTGTGCCTTTCTCGTCTTACAATGGTTTTACCGAGACCAGACAGAACCTCCTAGTATAAATTTCGTGCTGTGCGCTGCCTTCAGCTGTCGCCATTAACGGACAGCGGGTTCAGGGATACTGAATAATGTAGAATACAGAATGTGTGTACAGGTTCCAAACTAACAGTAAAACATTTGAAAATTACTGACGGTTTAATTTGTTTCAACGACAAATTTACAGACATCAAACATGCTTACTTATAAGACGTTCCACGTTCGGTTCTGCAACCAATGAATCGAACATAAGATAAAGATCTTTCTTCATGCCTTCTTCAGACTTCGATTGTAAAAATCGATCCTATGAAAGAAGCAAATTTTTTCAGATTTGACGAGTCTGCAAAATACACAGCACGTACATATCTTAAAACACCATTAAAAAAGTTAGACAGAGACCGAAGTAGAAAACCGTCAAGAAAGGCGCTTTGTTACAGTGGTGAACGAATTACAGTTAATGGAAAGCCTGCAATCAGGCTAAAATACACTAGAAGTATTTTCGAGTGTGACTCACATGTCCTAATCAATGGTGACAGAAAACCCTGGCAGCAAACATTCACTGACGTCGAGAGACGTGATCAAGTAACTTTCATGCCAATAAAAGAACAAAAGCTTCGAACATGACCATACGCTTCACAATGATGCCGATCCAATATGTCTGCTGCTAAAGGGAACAAGTTCAATTAGATATGGATAGTAGTATCGATTCATTATATGTTTCGATAAGAATTAATGAGTTTTTTCCTATCCATAGTTCAAGGCAAAAAAATAATATTATGTAAAATCCCTTATTCACCGACAGGTTTAGACTCTACACAGCAGAGTCATCAAGATACTGATGATGCTGGTGTACGTATTAAAATGCCGAAGTTGTCAGTCAGCCTCAGATCCATGGGGGCAGACGTGTCAGACAGACTCCAACGTTTCTAATCATGTGCCAGCATGTGCGCTTAAGCAGAATATAACCCAAGTGTGACGCAGAGTCCTTCCATACACTTGCCCCAGCTTCCTTTTGGCCGTACCAGAGACTTTCGTAAGGCTGTTTCACCGTCCTTTCTGAAAGTATGCATAGATATACCCAAACCATCACAGCTGTGACTTCTCAATCTGGAGAAGCCGCGGTTGTAACCAGGATTCTCATGAACATCCGAACTCAGGACCATGTGAAGATGCATGAGTCATGCATTCGTCTTTAGGTGAGAGCACAAATTTTCATTTTGTTCAGTGGTATCGAAATGCATCTCGCCATGATTTCAGCAACATTTTGCTATTTATGAGTTTACTAAGGAGTTAAACAACACCTTTCTGCCTCAGTGCCTTCTACGATTGCATATCAATCTGTATACATTGAGGGTTTTTTATATTATTTTGACTCTATGCTTCCTCAACTCATCTGTGAATTTTTTCGACTAATTCCTAACTTCATTCTAAGACCTCTTTCTTCCTATTTTAAAGCGGATACAAAATAAGTTGGCAAACTAAAAAAATATAAATTTATTTTCTGTTTAATAGGAAATTTGATTCTTTTTAAAAAAATCTCTTGTTCACTAAAATAAAAAAGGCTTCGGGAACGTAACATTACTACTGCCCAAAACTGGGCAGGGTTTCGAACCGAGATTTCCAAACCTTTGATTTTCAGACCTTAGTTCGACTCATTAATGAATTTACTGCTGAAAGTTGACAGTTTACCGAATAAGATGACAAAACCTGTTTTCATCATTATCATCTTCCATGACCGCTTCTACTTTTGGGTCGCGGAGGCAGACGCGTCAG